ACAGCAAATGGACAACGTTTCGACAATGTTTTACGTTGTACATTTGCTGTTATGTTAAACTTATATTAAAGTTTTTCTTCATTACCCATTCAAGCCGTCTCCAAGCATTATCCCGTCAGAAACTCGACAAAATAATTGATAGGTCAGAGACGTGCTATCGTAGAAATATGTAATACAATCTGCTATCTAGAAGCAAAATCAGATGGAATTGTAATACATTTGTATTTCCATGCCTATTTTCTTCATTGCTTACTAGATTTGTTTTTATTCTGCAAAACGTGCGGATTCGCCACCTCTTTATTTAGTTATGTATTTCCATTTTCACAAAAAAAAACGATATATCAATTAAAACAGAAACCAAAATTAAGTAGATATAACCGTAATTTCGTCCATATCTACTTATTTCATTTATATGTTTTAGTTCCCTCTTTAAAAAAAAATATTTGATTAGGAACGCATTTTGGAGACATTTATTATCAAACAAAATGTAGCCATAACATTGAAATGAAGATACCACGTTTATGCTTAAAAAAGTTATTTTGAAATAAATACATGCCAGTATATTGCCCTGTTTTGCGTTTTTAATCTTTGTCTGTCAAAAATTGTATCAACTCATAGTAAAAAGGAAAAAATTAAATATTAACATAAATTAAAGTTAATTTACCAAACAAGATCATGTTCATACGTTTCAGTCTATAAATCCGTTAAATTAAGTTCAAAATAGTAACTTTTGCATTTAGTTTTAAAAAACAGCTGTGTTCATGCGTGATGCACGTCAAAAGCTTGGAAGTTTCTCGAACATCTAGTGGTACCACATTTCAATTGAACTGCTCTCGCTCACTTCAGTGCTCGTGACAGACGCTTTTAGTTGTAAGCGCCTCGCTGCCCTTCGTCTACACCAGCAGGCCATGGTCTGCACGTGCGGAACTTCGGCGTCTCCCTAGTTCTCAGTTGCTAGGCGCCACTCTTACACTTTGATTGGCTAACGTTGTAACACCCTTGATTTTGATTGGTCTCTCAGATCGCAATGGTTATCGATGTTTTAATATCAGCTGTTACGGTAGCTTTTGTGTCAGTCGAGATTATTCTATGAGAACTGAGAGTCGAAGGTAGTTCGGCTTCACTACCTCTCTTCTTTCATACATTACTTTACTCAGTTGAAAGTAAAATTTTGCCATGGCAAACAGTATAGCTGTTTTGAACAAAACTCAGCAGTTGCCTGTCTGGACAAGTAATCATTTCGATGATGTGATTCATCAGCAAGTTAACTTGACAATCAACAGTCTTCACGGGAATCCAGCTCTTAGAAGTCCGGGTTTCCATGATACCACAATATCCTCGGTCGACCCGAAAGGTGTGTGTTTATTTTACTTACAGTTTTATGTTACTTAGTGAGCAGATTTCGTTTAGAAATGTGTGACATAAATCATAGTTAAGATAGTTAACAATGATTTTTCTTAAACATCAATCTGATGAAAATGACACTGAATGAAGTACATGGTGAGTTTGTTAATTAATATTTTCCTAGACGTCCAATATTAGCTTCAGATCATTTTCAACGATAGTAAAGTTAATTCAAAATACAATAATAACAATAATGATAATATGGTAAATAGACAAACAAAATAAAATTAATAATATTGTGTTATCAATTTTTACCTAGAAACCGTATTTGCTTAGGTCTTAAAAAATTCGCTTGCTTAATCTGATTCACACACTGACAGTTGTTCTTTATGAAAACGGATAATATACATCCTAGAACGCTTCTTTTTCTTTTATGTCTCATCCGACCCTAATGGGCCCTGGTATTGGGCGAAAGGCCTCATCGGCAATGGATATAGTAGATGTTGTGTGGTTGATATATTATAAATTGTTCTCCTTTGCTTTTGCTCGTGGGTTCGTAGATTTATTCTCCCGTTGGGACAGCGGTAAGTCTACGGATTTACAACGCTAAAATCAGGGGTTCGATTCCCCTCGGTGGACACAACAGACAGCCTGATGTGGCTTTGCTATAAAAACACTCACACACACACACTAGTAGATTTAATCAACCAAAATTTAATTTATACTCTCGTTTTACAAGCTGTCGAAATAGATTTATTAACGAAAATTTCTAAGATGTGTACTTTATTGAAGGTCTTAATGTGTTCTTTTGTACAAGTATTTTCGGTTTTTCTTTATAGAAGACTTCTTATCTTATCTCCGGGAAGACGATGCTTTAGACAACAAGTGTCAACTTCTCTCACAGAAGGTAGAACGCTGCCTAAAAGAAGCTAAGGACAAATACTTGCAGTGCGCTGAAGTGCTAATTCCATCTGATCTCATACTGCGGATTGTACACGATATTCTGCGCATGTCAGAAAAGGAGCCTTGTGGACTCAGAGGGTGCGTTCTGTACGTGAATCTCGAAGAAAAGAGTACGTGTCATCGGATTGGTAAGGTTAAGTGCGATCCAGACACCGTTGCGACCTTTGAAGTTGTATTAACTCTTAAGCAAGACTGTAGTAGTTGGTTAAGTCTACGACATTTAATACCTGCCAGACTGCTCAAGAGTTTCGGCCGAAACTCACCTCTAGTTATTAGTGAAAACTATATGCTAAACAAGAAGAAACTATACCGTTCGTCGAGCCTTCTCTCTTAATACTTCCTGTAGACGCACCATTAAACATAACTGTATATAAGTATGCGTGTAAATGAAACTGTCAGATATGTAAGCTAATATATATGACAGCCGCTGGACCGGATTTTCCTGAATACGACTTGGATCAAATTCTCGACTGTAACTTTTTATTTCATTGTTGTACACACACACACGTTGATCATTGTAAAATTTCAAGTATTGTTTTTGTGTGTGAGGGAAGGACTGTGATCCGTAGCGCTGTCTAAACAGCAATTTTGTTTACTTTTTGTTCACGTTATAACTAGTATAATATAAACAATGGAGATTAACAAAAACTTTTTATCTTATCACACAAAGTTTTGTTTCTACTCTGCATGTGAGATATATATATTGTTTTTATTGTTTTAACTAGTCAATTATCGCATTTTGTACTCGAAGCTGTTTAGGACGACAATGGTTAATTTATGTTTCGACAAACACTGCTTTTTTTTATTGTGGTTATTTATTCTAGTCCTACTAAAAATTAGTGAAATTGATATATGATATACACGAAATTTACTTACATTCATCTTTCGTCATAACTACTTTCTAAGAATTTCAATTTTCTTGTAACGGTGCCTACAATGGTTGTTAGCCCTTCTTTTGTGCAGCAGTGTTGTCTTGGCAGTATTTTACAGAAACTGTCATGTTTTAAATCACAATAAACATTTTAATAAGAATGAAGTTGTTATGTTGTTCCTTTAACTAAAAAAAAATCTGGAACTTGTCAAAATACTCCGACAAATGTTACAGCTCTTAATACAATTTCAAGGGTAGAACTGTGCACAGCATTATACGAATGTATTGCGTTGGAATTTTATTTTATTTTTTAACTACAAAAAACAAAAAACAACAACAACAAACTGTTAGACTGAATACATATTACTCTGCATATACGTGATCCCAGACTTTTCTGTCTATTTATACAGGAGTTCGACGAAAAATAAATTTTCCAGTCAAGAGTCTTATATTATTACAAAGTTAGACGTCTAAAATATATTTACGCAATTCCAGCCAACTCGATAGCTCAGCGGCGAATTTGAGAGATTATAACTAAAAAAAATCGGGTTTCGATACCCGTGGTGGGAAGAACACAGATAGTTCATCGTGTAACTTTGCGCTATAGTAAAGTTATAAAGAACAAAAATGATAATACAATTCTTTCTTCCAGTTGATTCTTAGTTTTAATATTCATGCGGGTTTGAGTCCTTTTTACATCACTCTAGTGTGACTCAAAACTACGTCAATATTTTATACACATCACCATTATAAGAGGACCTAACTATATTTCTTTGGTTTGCTGACCCAAGTTGTGCTGATAAGGCGAAACTGCAGTCTAAACCAGAGGGTACAACCAATCAAAAAAAACTTTAGGCAGTGAAAGTAAGTAATTAAATGTTCAAATACTAAGAACTAGTATAAAGTTAAAATATAGTAGGTATGTTAGGTTGTGAATTGAAAAAAATATATATATTTGCTGATATTTTGCCTAAGCATATCTTTAGATTTTGATATAACCGATACTAGATGGCGCTAAAAGAGCTTCAACTTAAAATTAAGAATAATATGGGATCGCGCCTAATTTATCATTCGGTAATACATAGCGGACCAACTGTTTAACGATTATATTATAGAGTTGTTTGTTTTTTTCTTTTTTCCTTTTCACCAAAGATAGAGATACAAACACAATCTCGGACTTAGAAGCCTAATGCACTATATCTATTTTGTAAAACCTAAGTTGTCTTTCACAACTCAAGTGAGATGAGTAGTTTTTATTATGAGAAACAGCTGTTTGTTCTTCAGCACATGTAGTTCAACAGAGAGTTATCTGCTCTCTATCTTCCACGGGGATCAAACCACAAATTTAAATGTTATAAACACCAAAGATCACCGCTGAACCACCGAGGCAGAGAAAAAACAACATTACAATACCATTTTATAAATACAACTATAGTGGTAGTCTTCAGCGGTATATGTGCGGACTTATACCACTAGAAACCGGGTTGCGATATGGTGGGCAGAGCACAGATAGCCCTTTGTGTAGCAACAACACGACAACATATACATTTTTTGATACAGTTTTTACATATCTATTTTTGAGATTTATCTCCTCAAAAGTCAATAAGATACTGTGAAACACTAACGGGTTTTCCTGTGTTGCAGTTTTTCAATAGAAGATGTTATCACATGGGTGCAGTCCGGATATATTGTGGCTTCATTTCTTTGTAATAAGTCCAACTATGGTTAAATTGTACACTTAATGCTTACACGCAGACGTCTAGAACATTTCAGGAAGAAATACGGAGCTGTTTCTTCGAACTTAACGACGTTATTAATATATTAAACTATACAAGTCGGAAAAACATCAGTCATTTTCAGGCTCACAATTTCTACCACGTAAGTCCAAGTGTAACCTTTTTGTGATATAAAAAAAATAGAAATAGAATACACAAAAAATAAAACAAAACGGAGATTTAAAGAAAATGTCTGTATCATATCTTTCTATTTACAGGAATAACTTTATCGTGCTTTAAAGTTTCTTAATTATTTTGTTTCGAAATGAAATATTCCAGGCTTAGGAATGTGCTGCAAGAATGTAAAAACTGAAATTACTGCTCTAAACCATGTCAGAGCTGTTATGTAAGTAAAACGGTTGCTATAGAGAAATTGTTCATAACAGTTTTTGGTATTTTTTGAAAAATATAAAAGTTATGAATCATAAGCTTTGTGGATCTATAAAAAATAACATTTGTTACGTTAAAGCGGGACATTAAATCTTCTTATTATTGTGAGTTACTGCGATTTCTTTTATTTCTACACCATAAGAACACAATATTTCATCATGTTTTATCTGTCATGAGGGTTTAATTAGACTATTTACCTGATGAAATCAACTTTCTCTCTCATAAGGAACGTGATTGTGTAACGTACTGTTATAAGATATATAATTTAGATGTTTGTTTGCTAGAGGAAGCATGTCATGTGACCTCACCATGATGCAAGACCTATAAATTTTCATGAAAGTAAGGTCTCGATAGAATCTAGAAATGTTTTAGTGTAAAAATGTTATTTTTTTCACTCGCATACCAAATTGCATACTGTTATAAATTAACCTTACAAATATGAAATGAATTGTATATTTCTTGTGTACTAAGTAAAAGATCCCTTAACAATTCTAAAAATGAAAATAAATGCTAGATTTCCAAAAAAAAAATGTTAGTTCGTTTTAGACCGAAGCCACATTGTACTATATCCTTTATCCACCGCAGGAATCGAACTGCAGATTCTAGCTTTGTAAGTCTGTAAACTTACCGCTGTCCCACCTAGGGACCCCCCAAAAAAGTGACAGGCAAACTGTGCAAGTTTGTTTACGTGTAGGAAACGACAATAGCTGTTCAACAGCTAAAGCATCATTTAATGGGGTATTCTTAAGAATATTCATCTTATGAAGGAATTTAACAATTCAATTTTATGAAGGAAGAAAATTAACAAGTACAAAAGTATTTGAAACTGCGAGTTTCTAGATCTGATCAAGAACAACGTATCTTAGGTCGATAACATGTTTACTAGGAACCTGAAGCACACGAAATAAAATTAAATTTGATATAATTCGCTTTACAAGCAGTACGGTTATTTGTTCGTGGTCGATAGCTAAAATGATAACGATTTATGTTGACGAACTTAAAGACTCGGTACGAGATGTAAGTGCCGTGTCAAACCACGGGCCAGCGAAGTTTTTCAATTTATGAGGAGGTAGGTATGTGAACTTGAAAATGAATAGCTAATCTCAGTTGTCAATGTATTAATAACGGTAGATATGCTATTGATTTAGAATAGACTACTTAATATAAACAGATGATAGCTTCTGATTACGAAAGCCATCGTTCATACCACATTGTAAAAATCCGGGTCTGGTCTGATCCCCGTAGATACCTTATTTCGGTCCTGGTTAGTACTTGGAAGGATAACCATCTGGGAATACCTGGTGATGATGACACTATTACTTTCTTCCCTCCACAGTGGCACAGCGGTACGTCAGCGGACTTACAACGCTAGAAACCAGGTTTCGATACCCGTGGTGGCAGAGCACAGATAGCCCATTGTGTAACTTTGTTCTTAATTACAAAGAAACAAACTGATTACGAAAATAAACAACCATTGGTACATGACCTGATGTAGAATAATAGAGTAATGTGTGATAGGGCACTGGTGTGGAGTAATACATTAATGTGTGAGAGGGTACTAGTGTGCAGTAATACAGTATCGTGTGATAGAGCACTAATGTGTATTAATACAGTAATGTGCGACAGGGCACTAATGTGGAGTAATGTAGTATGTGGGATTGGATACTATTGTGGAGTAATATGGTATGTGGGATAGGATACTATTGTGGAGTTATACAGTAATGTGTGATAGTGTACTAGTGTGGCTTAATCAGGTAACGTTTGATAGGCTACTAGTGTAGAGTAATACAGTAATGTGTGATAAGGTACTAGTGTAGAGTAACGGAGTAATGTGTGATAGGGTACTAGTGTGGAGTAATACAGTAATGTATGACAGAGATATCTGAAAGTTTTGTTATTGATAGACAAAATTTTCTTTAAATGAAAACAATAAAATTTGCCCTTAAAACGAATAAAATAAACACTGTCATTTACAGTTGTTTATTTACATGTACTTCATTCTATTAGGCAGATAGCGCAAACTTAAAAGTAATATACGAGAGAGTAGGCAACTAAACACCACCACTACCTGGACTTTTCTTTTATTAATGAAACATGGGATTGACCGCCACATGATAAAGCCACAAAGGCTGAAAGGTCGAGCACGTTCGACGATGGGATTCGAACTCGCGACCCGCAGATTGCGATTTGAGATCACGTTCTGAATGTTGGGGCCGAGAGTGCGCTATAGATTCTAGGTCAAATCTTTTTATTGGGTCAGACAAGAATATCCAAAATATTATGAGGTAGGTGAATTGTACTAACGGTGTTCTCTCTAATCTGTGAATTCAAAATTAGGTACGGCTTTGCGCAGATGGACCTCCATCAACAGCATGTCCTAATTCAGAAACCAGAATCTCAAAAATTATTTTAAAAAACAAACAAAAATCAAGTCTGCAGGAAATAAAGAAGTTCGAGTTCGTTGCACTCGCCAATGAACCATTTCAAACATATTAACATATCTTACAAATCTTGTATGAACCATTTCAAACATATTGACATATCTTACAAATCTTGTATGAACCATTTCAAACATATTAACACATTTGAAAAATCTTGTATGAACCATTTCAGACATATTAACACATTGTAAAAATCTTGTATGAACCATTTCAAACATATTAACACATTTTATAAATATTGTATGAACCATTTCAAACATATTAACATATCTTACAAATCTTGTATGAACCATTTCAAACATATTAACATATCTTACAAATCTTGTATGAACCATTTCAAACATATTAACACATTTGAAAAATCTTGTATGAACCATTTCAAACATATTAACACATTTTAAAAATCTTGTGTGAACCATTTCAAACATATTAACACGTTTTACAAATCTTGTATGAACCATTTCAGACATATTAACACATTTTACAAATCTTGTTTTTGGTCATTAGAACTAACTATTCTGTGTGTGTGTGTGTTTTTCATATTCTTCAGTC